TTTGGATTAAGCAACGGTTTCTTAGATATGACACCAAAAGCACAAAGCTTCGAAAGAAAGAAATTGAGCTTTATCAAAATTAAAAACTTTTTGTGCATGAAAGAAAGAACTTTAGCAACAAAATGAAGAGAGTCTACAGAACAGGAGAAAATATTTGGTAACCATGTATCTGATTAGGGTTTAATATCCAGAATAAAGAACTACAACTTAACAACAAAAGAACAACCCAATCAAAAATTGGGCAAGGGAACTGAATAGATACTTCACCAAAAAGGATATACAGGTAGCCAGCAAACACATGAAAAGATGGGCAATGCCATCAGTCATTGGGGAATGGAGAATCAAAACCACAAGATACCACTTCACCCTCACTAGAATGGCTGTGACCAAAGAAGACAGAAAATAATAGGTATTGGCAAGGATGTGGAGAAATTGGAACCCTCCTCCATTGCTGGTAGGAATGTAAAATGGTGCAGCCTCTGTGGAAAGCAGTTTCGTGGTCCTCAAAAAGTTAAGCATAGAGCTACCATATGAACCAGCAATCCCAGTCCTAGGTGTATGTACTCAAAACATTGAAAGTAGGGACGCAAACAGAAACTTGTCCACCAGTGTTCATTGCAGCACTGTTCACGATAGCCAACAGGTGGAAGCAACCTAAATGTCCACCAACAGATGAATGGATAAACAAAATGTGGTATATACATCCCAGAAAACCAAACCCATTGCTGTGGAGTTCATTCTGACTCCTAACAACCCTATAGGACAGAGTAGAACTGCCCCATAGGCTTTCCAAGGCTGTAAATCTTTACAGAAGCAGACTGCCACGTCTTTCTCCCGAGGAACAGATGGTGGGTTCGAACTGCCAGCCTTTCAGTTAGTGGTTAGCCGAGTGCTGAATCACTTTGCCTCCTTGGTATATACATGCAGTGGCCTATTACTCAGCCATAAAGAGAAATGAAGTTCTGATACATGCGGCAACATGGATGAATCTTGAAAACATGCTGAGTGAAATCCGTCAGTCACAGAAGGACAAATATTGTGTGGTCCCACTTACATGAAATGGGCAAATGTATAGACACCCAGGTTTCTTCACAGGAGTGGGAGGGAGGGGGGAATAGCGAGTGTTTGCTTGGGGGCACTGGGTTAATGGTGATGGAGTACTTTGGAAAGGGACGGTGGTGATGGTCGCACATAATGAGGCCGCAAGGTGTGGAACCCCTCTGCAGTGAACGATTTGGCCTTTCGGTCCTGGGTCTGAGGACAAAGGCCCACACCTGAGGCCAATGAGTGGGGCCACCGATTAAGCCTCAGGAGGCCTGGTGAGGCCAGTGAAGGCCTGGGAAGCTGTAGGCCACAGGAGCCTCCGGACCTGTGGAATAGTTGGCTGTGGCAGAGGGGTAAGCACACCCCTTGGGGACAGGGAAGCTCTGCTGAAGACCCTTCTCTCCGATCTTTGTCCCAGGGTACAGATGTCAGCCCCAGGGGATAAAAGATTGAAAATTCATCAGAGGGGACCGGCCCCGGAAGCAGCAGAAAGCCTGGACCTGGTAGAGGGCAGGGCAGAGGGTAGAGGGCAGAGCCAGGAGAAACAGCATCAAAGAACAGGAAAAGTAATGCCACTGAATTATGTAAAAAATGTTGGATCGGCAAATGTTTTGTTGTATGTAACTGTACCACAATAAAACAGTTAAATTTATGCTAAGTGAAAGAAGCCAGATGCAAAAGGCCACATATTGTATGACTGCATTTATATGAAGTGTCCAAAAAAAAACCACAAACCTGTTGCCGTCGACTCGGACTAATACCGACCCAATAGGACAGAGTACAACTGCCCCGTGGGGTTTCCAAGGAGCTGCTGGTGGGTTTGAACTGCTGACCTTTTGGTTAGCATCCGAGCTCTTAACCACTGTGCCACCAGGGTTCCGTGAAGTGTCCAGAATAGGCAAAGCTAGAGACAGAAGGCAGATTGGTGGTTGCCAGGGGCTGGGGGTAGGGAATGGGAAGTGACTACTAATGGGTATGGGGTTTCTGCTTAGGAGGTGAAAATGTTCTGGAATTACAACATTGTGGATTGTATTAACCACTGAATCCTACTCTTTTAAAAGAGTAGATTTTGTGGCATATGAAGTAATCTCACTTAAAACTCTCTTTATGAGGAGCACACTTTGTTTTGCCTTGCTTCAAGAAGAGTGTTGAAGAACATGAGGTTTCCAGGAACCACAGTGTTGTGTCAGGACCATTAGCCAGGGACTATAGGAATGTGTGTGGTGGCAATGGATTGTGTGGTGCCCTGTGCCCACCACTCCTGTAGGAATTGCTTCTCCTCACCCCATAACCTGGCCACCAAGGAGCACCTGCATGTTGACAGCGTGACCCTGCTTGCTGGTCCCAGCTGACTGTGACAGGGATGGGCCCAGCCCTAAGCTGGCTCAGGCAGCTCATTCGCTGGAACATCTGGAGTTGAACTGAGCAAAGAGCCTGTCTCTCTTGGTAACAGGAGCGTAGTATGTAAAAGCTTGGAGTTCTCCGTGGCCAAGTCATAGTGCTTTAGAAGGTGTTCCTTGATGGGTTTTCTCATTACGAAAGAATGTAGGTTCATTGCAGAGTGTACTTTGGGCAACATAGGAAAATATGAAAAAGCCCAGTCCCCTTTAATCCCCTCTTAGAGATGCCATCTGGTCTCCTCTCCCCTTGTCTATAAACGCCTGTCTGCACGGTGGAGCTCATATAGCACACGTAACTTTCTGTCATTTTTCATTATATTTTCAGTGTTTTCCATGCCATCAACAGTGCTTTACAATTTTACTGTATGAATATTGTTTGCTTGTCCTAGTTTTCTTCTGTCAGGCATTTAAGAAGCAGTCAGCTCTTGATGCTCCTATCCTAAATAATTCCGCATGTAAATAAAAATTTAAACCAAATCTGTCTCAATTTCTAGCTATTTTATAAGGAAAATTCTAAGAGGTGGGTTTATAAAATGAAAAGAATATCTTCATGGTTTTTGATACATAGACTTTTTAGTGACAACTCTGAGATGATGAATAAACGAAACCATGTCATGGTTTTATTTCCCTTACATATATATGTACCAAGAAAAAAAAACCCATCACAGAAGTAGCAGCAACTTCAATTACATGCAAAAGTTGAATGTACCCCCAAATGACTTCTTGTTTTGGTATCAGCAGATAATTTAAATGTACTTAGTAAACAGGTTAAAATATGGCTTGCTTTAACAGTTGATATGCGAACCAAACAAGGCAAAGTGAAAATAGAAGTTAAAAAAAATTATGTAACAGATAATCAGAGAAGAAGACTTTTCTGTAACCTTCCTTGCCATATTTTTCTCTGTGAGGCCACCTACTTCTATTAGTTGAAAAACATGTTTTATAGAAAGATTCATTCACGGCCTAAACCATAGGTACGTAGTTGTTATTTTACTGGGGCCCTGCTTTCGAGAACATCGACGAGCCTAGCAGCGTAGTACTTTATTTAGGATTATCTGAAAAAAATCACAACTGTGTGCAATGGGAATAATTTTTATTGACTGAATATTCACAGCAAACACAAAAGTTAGGCTGGTTCTTCTCCTTAATGGACCAGGACAGGAGGAGAAGTTTCAGCTAGTTTTTGCTGGGCTGCATGTGCTCACATGGGGAGCATGATTTTCTATCTTAAAGATTCAGGAAAAGGTGGTTTGGAAACAGACTTTAAAAGTAGCACCAGAAGGACCAGGTACCAACAATCACATATTCCACCCACTCAGGACTTTTATTATGTGAAGTTATTGCACTTGTAAAAAGTAAAACGATAGAAAATTACCATACTCAATTCTAAATACAGTTTGATGAAGTTTTAACTAAAGATTTCAAAATGGTTTTGAGTTTCCCTGCAAAAGAAACCTGGCTTGAAAACGGAATCTAGGCATTTACGGTACTTTTCAAAAGCAAGGACAGAGGCCCACGTTTTACTTCTAAACTGTAATTGCACTAGGAGGAAAGAGGCTGTTTTACATAGTGGTACGAATTTGGTCCACATCAAATACATCGTTATAAAAATAAGTCTGTTTTTGTAAAAAATAACATTGCATTCCTTTGTTCAAATTGCACAGTACAAACTAAATTAATACTGTTGTAAGGTAATCAAGAGTTACATACAGCGGATACGTAAGCTCAGTCTGAAGCAATTAAGGAATATGCAGTTACGTTTCCATAATGTATGAAAACTAAAATTTAAGTCATATCTAGAAATAACATAAAATAGTTTAAAAGTTACAATGAAGAACACTTTGTTTACATACTAATTTTTAGTAGCCGTGATAATACAGGATTTAGCAGCCTATTTACATAAAAGTCCATTTTTTATTCAATTTACAAAAGCAATAAATAAGAAACTACATTAATTTGCACAAAACCTGTTTCTTTTCATGATCGGTGTGACCATTTCTATTACTTTACAGCCAAGCCAATAAGTCTGTGCTCCTTTATGAAGACAGTTCAGACTCAGAAAGAAGAGCAAGCCCGGTCGTTATTCCAAGAGTATCTATAGCCATGCAGAAGCCAGCGTAAACCCTTACAAATTATAATACAAGCCCTACAAATATGAGCAGAGCTTTGAGTGTATTTACACAGGCATATTCACATGAAGATAGCCTTCTTTGATACAAAAGAGCCTAGTGGTATCAGCATAACCAGAAAGAACCGCTCGGAGACCCCTGCCCACATAGATCTAGCAGTGGTGGAGCTTGCCAGACAGGCACGTAAGCCCCCAGCTGGAGGGCTGCCGTGGGTCCGGCGCTGGGGTTTAACAGGCAGAGGCTGCGCAGCAGGTCCCCGCCACGCCGGCACACAGCGTACCAGGGCGGGCCTCTAGCCAGGAGGACCAGTTGGGGAGTCCAGTGCTGTCCACGGGAGCAGACAGGTTGCTCACGTCACTGATGAGCCACAATGAGCACCTTAGCATTTATTAAAAAAAGCAGTCTGGACACACCAGAAATCGGGCAAGAGGCTGAAGTAGGAAAAAGTAAGCTCATATGGGCCTACGTGACCCCGGTGGTCTCGGGGCTACCAGTCTTTTAAGAATAAAACCAAAATATTCTCATGTACATCTGTACAATATTACTGCTTTCCACTGCAGCTTAAAAAAATCTTTTATGAAAGTTGACTTATTTGAGATCACATTTTTGTGGAGTCAAATAGATTTCGTGGAGGACAAATAGTTAAAATTTAGTAATCCCTAAGCAAAGTCTCGGAGCGGAGTCCTCTCCCCTTTAAGCCACCCATGAGGTCACAGTGTCCTTGGGCGCAGACCGCTGCTACCGAACACCGCCCACAGCGCGGGCACCCCCTGCCGTCAGGACACGGAACAGTCGTAAGTCCCATCCTGGAAAGGCTCCTCCTCCTGGGCTCGGGCGGTGGCCTCCTCCTTCCGGCTGGCTGTGCTGCCCCCGACCTCCGCCAGGGGCACGATACTGTGGCCTGAGGCGCCCCTGCTCTCTTCTGCCCGCGGGCTCATCTGCTCTGGGGTCTTACCCACCGAGACCGGCTGGAAGGCTTCAGGCTGGACCTGCTCTTCTGTCATCTCACTGAGCTTCTGCAGTTGTGGCTTAATGATGTTTAAAAATGGCTTATATCCAGGACTAGGCAGAGGAAAAAGGCAATCAGCTCCCTGCCATACTCCAGAAGGCTCCAGAGAGTGTGATGGATAAACTCCTAAACATTGGTACAGTGGGGTCAGTGCTAAGAATGGGAAGGAGGCAAAGGGGGCGGGGAGGAAAGGCCTCCTGGGGCCCTGGCCAGTGCTCAGGGCTGCACACCAGCTCTGGGCTTAAATTTCTGAGCACTAGGAGCAAAGACGGACATTTATTTGTCAGTTTTACAATTAAAAATAATATTCTAAAATTAAAGGACCAACAGGATTTTAGCACTGAAAAAAGACCTTCAGAGAATATCTAACCTGAATGCATTTGGCAATTAAGGAAAACTAGAGCCACAGAACTGAAGTAACTGACTCCAAATCCTTACAGACGGCCTAGAATCCAAGATGTTTAGCCCCCACATGCGATTTTTACTTAGAACTTGCTGGTAATTGCCATGGATTGTTAAATTCACACAGGCCTTAACATTTTCCTCTGTTTTCAAGCAGACGTGTTTCGGTTATGATCGTCACTGCCAAAGAACGCAAGTCTCAAGTTCTAGTTGAACTCTGAGATCCTGTGTACCGCGTCAACCTGAAGGCAGTGACAGACAGTCACAGGGAAGCTAGAAACGAGCCATCCAGGTGGGCTCCAAGGGGGCATTATCCTTCTCAGTGGACATACCAGAAAAACAGAACAACCCAAGTCAATTCCGACTCGCAGTGACCATGTAGGGCAGAGTGGAACTGCCCCACAGGGTTTCCAAGGAGCGGCGGGTGGATTCCAACTGCTAACCTTTGGTTAGCAGTCAAGCTCTTAACCACTGTGCCACCAGGGCTCCACAACAGACATACAAGGGTTACTAAAGAGAATGGCCTTGGAAATGACATACGAAAGCATTTTTACTTCTGCCAACATAAAAACCCCAAATAAATGAACCCTAACTAAGCGTCACTCGGAAGGACAGGATGCTCCAAAGGACAGCCGGGAAGGAGCAGCAGGAAGCAGCACTTACCAGTCTGAGGAGGCCCATCTGTCCACAGCATGCAGCCCTGTCTTTATGTTCTGTAACATCTCTCCATCCACCTCTGATGACTGTATAACCACCAAAGTCTGGTTGATGATTGAGGGTTCTCTAAGAATCAGGCCTATGACAATGCACCAGTCCAGACACCCGGCCTCCATGAAGATGTGCAGCAAATACCTACAGAAGAGCAGAAACAAAGTGATCTGCGCTAAGAAGGATATGGAGATGTACAGAGGAAGGGCAGTGCTTATCAGGAAAGGGGCCCTGTGCCGTCTGCCTGAACCCTGAGGAAGTGCTCTGCTCTCAGACAGCTGCGAAACTCACCGAAGCTGGACCTGTGACTTGTGAGGCCCTTTACTGGCTAGCTCCAGGGAGATGTGCTCCAGCTCTGACTGGGTCAGACTGAGCGTGGAGAAATTCTCGTCCACCATCGTCCAGTCCCCATCCAGCATGGAGCTGCTCTCAGTCAAGTCTGTGGCTGACCCAATACTGCATTCATCACCTGAGGAGGAGTGGTCAGAAGCTGTAAACTAGCTCCACATAGAAAATATGCTTTCCTTTGTTTAAAAAAAAAAACACCACATAGTTTTTGAAAGAGTAAGCTTCAACACGCTGTTTTTGAATGACTGTTCTCTTTGGTTAAGTCAAGGGCCGACAGTTTCTCTTCGCTTTTGAATACTTTCTCTTCCCACTACAGGGACATGTGACATAAAGTATCTTCCACAGGAAGCACCACAGGAAGAAGGCAGTCAATGAAAGGAGTCTGTTCCCGCAGACTGATCCTGGAATCACTCTTATGTGAAGTAAAATATGTCAAAGTACAGGCAAGGCCAACATGCCCTTGTTCTGGTAACTGTTGGCCTCTCCAGCAGACAGTGATGGCTGAAAGGAAAGAGTGAAGTCCTATCTCGGCAGTGCTACTGCACAGAAGCTTTCTTCCCAAGGCTAAAGAAGAGCTACGACTGCTCTTGACACTTACCTTTATTAAACAGAGGAGACAGGAAGGCGTCTTGCGTTTGTGCTCCATGGGACGAGGCCGAGTCGATCTCCTGATGGGTGGGGCCGAGGCTGCCAAGCCAGCTCTGACTTCGCTGGACGTCAGAGATGCCAGCCTCCATCTCAAGGTTTAAAAAAGGACCAGCTGACTGCGACTTTAATAGCTGCTCTCCTACCGCAGGGGAGGTCCGAAACCAGACGACAAAAACACAAAGAACGGGGAGCACAATTCAAGATGCGCACGCTGCCACTGCCAGCTCAGTTCTCGCAGCCTCTCCCCCGGGAATGCTGCCAGTTCAAAGCTGCATCCTCCACCCATAAACTAGGGATAAGAGATGGCATCAAAACAGGCTGGCCCCGTACTGCCAGTCAACAGTCATCTTCTATCTTAGTGGAACTAGGCGAAACCTTACTCTGTTGATGTCGGAAGTACTCACCTTGGTTTTTACGATGGTAAGAAGTTTCTACGTGCCATACTAGGAGGTTCTTGTTTAAATTGTCATCAGTAGTACTAACTAGTTCAGTCTTCTGAAAAAGACCTGAACTACGAGACGTTTCTTTCAACAAAATACGCAGCTTCACATTGTGCCCTGCTAGCTGAGACGGCAGCCTGAGCCCCTACAGGGGGACCTTTACTGTCCCCCTGGAATGACTCCTTTCAGGTCAGTCAGTCACAAGTGAGCTGAGTTGGAGATCTGGAGCTACCTAACTGGTTCCAAGACTCCTTTCCACAGCAGTGTAAGTGTGGCAGCTTTTATATTCAGCCAGTTCACAATTTGTTGATAATCTGAGATAAGAGTGGTTGGGCTGATGAATTCGACTTTGAGGTCCCAAGACTTAGAGACATAGGTTCTTAGAGACATGGGTTATTTTACATCCTTGGTCAAATGGTGGATGTTCCAACTGACGGACAAAAAGCGGGCTTTGATTCGCCCCTGAGTTTGGAATGAAAAGACTTTCTTAAATATCAACTCACAGCAAAATGTATAAAAGCCTGGGGTAAAATACAATTCTCTTTGTACAACTGATGTGATTCTCCATTACCTGGTCGGTACTTTCCGTTCCTGAAGGGAGAGCTGATGGAGGAGGTGGGGATGACGGGCAGTGGCCACAGGAAATCTTTGTGGAGCCTCTTCAGGGCTGTGACGAAGTTGTCCACCCGGGCAGCCCGCGTCCGTTCCTTGCACAGCCAACTAATCAGCTCAAAGCCCAGCTGGGCGGCAAAGCAGCCGAGGTCCTTGAGCCGCACTTCTTCCAGGAGGCGCCGAGCATGTCTCCAGAGCATCATATCGATGTACATGTTCTCAGCACAGTCGCTGTCTCTGCTCCATCTAGAGTGGGGGCACGGGAAAGCTGCAGGATTTCACATATTTTTATACAACAGCATTGCTAAAGCTGACAAGGAGGTAACCGATCAAGACCTAATTCTGACTGTAGAGAAAGACAAAGACCAGGGCTTTAAACCGCATCCTGAACAGCACCTGGAGCACAGCTGTCTGCTCTCAAAGACCATCTGTAGAACGAGTGCGTGGAGCAGGATAAAAGAGGGGACAAAGATGCTAGACCTAGGAAGAGGGTGGTGACTGGCTGAAGCCAAGAAAGGGAGCAAATAAATGTTGTAGTTGAAAAGAGGGAAGGAGACCAGATCACAGAAGCCAAGGGCAGAGAAGCTAAGTGAAATGAAATCTCTCAACATGAGTTATGGAGACCTATGAAAATAAAACCAATTTTCAAAAAGCAACAGCTTGACTGACTAGAGTCTATGGTCCCTTCCGCAGACGAGCTGATGTGGTGTGGTGGCACGCCGTGGGCCTGCGGGCGAGGGTGGGAGAGGGCAGCGGCAGAGCCTCTGTCTGGAGCACGACTGCCTCATCCACACCTTTGTGTTTCTGCGCCCGTTTCTTTACCTGCTCAGGGTGGGCAATGACAGCATCTACCCTCGGACAGTTGTGGTGAGGATTACTGAGCTCGTGCGTGTCAATGCGTAGAGCAGTGCCTGCAGAGTGAGAGCTCAGGGTGAGGCTGAGGAGCACCTGTTTACCTGGCAGTTGTCCACAGCCTTCCACAGTGCATCCTACTTGCATATGACTCATGATTGTGTGTGTGTGTGTGTGTGTGTGTGTTTTGGGTGAGCTGTGGTAGTAGTGGTGGTGCTGGAGGAGGGTCAATGGCCAGTAACAGAGAAAGCAGTGAAACATCACAATAAAAAATGTCAAACAAGCTCTCGCTGTGTGCCAGGCACTGTAGTGAGAATATAAACAGAACAGTTAAAAAAAAGGACTAAACCCAAACCTGTTGCCCTTGAGTCAATTCTGACTCACGGCGCCCCTACAGAACAGAGTGGAACTGCCCCATAGGGTTTCCAAGGAGCGCCTGGTGGATTTGAACTTCCGACCTTATGGTTATGTGCCACCACAGCTCCAAAAAAAGGACCAGGGGAGCAAAAAACCAAGGGTCAAGCACATGTAACCACACAGGCAGGAATACAAGGATCTCACAAATCAGAGGAAATTCTTAATAATTTTGTAATGTTCAGCTTGAGTTCAGTCACCCCTCAGGACAGAACCCATCTCCAGGGGCTGTAGGTCTCCAGGATACACTTCCTCTTGGTTGTCCCACTGTCTAATGATTCCTCCAATCAAAGAGTCACAGGACAGTCAAGCAGGAGCATGAAAAGTTGTTTGTCAAGAGGCACAGTTGGAAAGAAGGGTAAAACACTGCGCAGTGAAGAATGCTTTTGGATTAACTGTAGGTTTACTGATCTGCCTTTTTATTCTGATTCTACTATCAGAAGAAATTGAAAGTTAATTGCTTTGAAAACTGGGTACACCAAGCCATACTCTAGTGCCTGGGGCAAAAATGTGCAAAGAGGACAGAAGTGAACTTTGGAAGAGGGAAAAAGGGAAGCTTTCTGTGTGGTCTCTATGCCTTTTGGGAATGGAAAAAGGAGTTACAACTGGATCAAACAGGTGCTTCCATGAGAGCTGGCTTTACAAACGCCCTGAAATGCGGCATGTCTCAGAATCCCCTAAGAGCAGCGATGGAGCATTCTTCTTTTACCTTTTACCGGAAGGGCCAGTTGGCATACTTAGTGTTTTCTGTAAGCTGAATTTACTTGCAGGAACAGTCTCAGCTGACTGGGATAAACTGATGCTTCGATTCCGGAAGAACTCAAATCCACCACTTGAACTGGGTTCCTGTGATCACATACAACATGCAGTGCAGTTAGACGTGCCATGTAGGCGTATGGCCCAGAGAAGCGGGACAGGTGTGCACCCACCTGAGCTGTGGGTGTGGACGGAGGGGTCTCCGATTCTCCAGAGCCAATGGCCTTAAGAAACCGAATCATGTGTCGGCAGAGGTCCCACTTGCCTTCTTCCAGTGCCGTGTTGAACAGTAGGGTGGCGTGTTGCCTACTTACGGCCGGGACTTCCATATTCTAAAAAACAACAAAACAGAACAAGGAAGATGACATTCCTTTTAGACGCATGTGCTCTGGGACGAAATGAGCAATTCTTTCTCTCTCCAGTCCCCTAAACCCAGAGAAGGAAACAGCAGCTACAACGCTGTAGCAGTCAGTTAAGATTAGCAGAACAATTAAAAGGAGCATTAAAAAAAGCACCATGCAAGGGGAAATGAGGCAAATACTCTGCTGGTGTAATACAGACTATGAGTTTTGGAACTCCTACTATGTACCACATGCCACGTTAAGTACCTTACATGCATGATTTCATTTAATTCTCACAACGACTGCAAAATAGGCATATTATCCACATGAGGAAACAAAGGTAAGTGACTTGTTGAAGGTCAGCAGAAAAGCAAGATTGCACATCTAGGTTGGCCTGATTCCAAAAGCTGAAGTTCTCTGTCCTTTGGGACAGAGAGTTTCCTGAGGATGTGACCAAAAGATCTTTGCTTTTGGCCCTGGGAAGCAGAATTGCTATACATTCAGCATCGTCAATAATTCTTTCACAAATCCAGCCTTACTGCCTGTGCTGGGCTTCATGGGAGGTGCCAAATAGACAAGTTTAATTGTATCTATTATCTGAATAGTCCCAGGGGCAGATTATCCAATAAGCAAGGTAAACGCTGTGCTTACTTTGCTTACCAAATCATCTGTAGTGAACAATTTCACATTTTTTCACCACATCAAAGATTCTGCTTCTAGGTATGGCTGGCATCTGTCCCTCTCCCAACCCCAAAGCACCTTCCTACAGAATCAAAGCCTCTTTTCAAATTCACCATCCCTGACAGGAACGGATGATCTAGTGAGCAAGGTAAGCACGGGCTTACTTGTGAAACCCATGTGAGACTGTTCTCTACAGACTAGTAAGTAAGCACAAGTAAGCCCATGTTTACCTTGCTTATTGCATAATCCGCCCCTGGATAGTCCTTAGCAACTTACGAAATGTGCCAGAGAAAAAGCTTCCATTGGTAAGATCATTGAAAGTCTAGGAAGGAACCTAAAACACTACAGCCGAATTTATTTTGATTCTATTTTTATAATTCTTGCGGCTTTTCTTTACGGCCAGCCAAAGCATCACAGAATCTTCGTGCCATCCAGCCTGTGGCTGAGTTACCTCCTCTGGTTTCAGTCAGCTCTCTTGAAGCAAAAATGCTGATAGGAAATTTGCTTCAGGCAGTTTAAAGCTGTGTGGTAGATCAGGTTTATGATCAGCTTCTTATATCATGGTAAACAACTCTGCAGTAATTTGAAAGAACCATGAAGTGTAGTCTGTCAGATCCATATCAGACTGATAGAAGCCCTTTTGTCAAATATATAATGAAACATTTTCAGGGGTCTCAAAGAACCATTATTTTGAGGAAAACTGTGGGCTAATGAGGGTCACCCCTGTGGCCATCTGAACCTTCTCTCGCTCTGAGGAGCCTAAGAAAGGTGCCCTGTCCCAACTCCTGCTCTCATCAGAGTCCCCCCAGCAATTCCACACTATACCAAAACACATCTAGTATCGGGGAGCTCAGACAAACCCACTAATATGCAAAATAATGCTTTTCTTCCCACTGGGAACTCATTCATCTGTTTTAGGTCTATCAAAGGGGAAAGAGGACAAAACCTCTGCAGGGTTACTTTGTGGCATTCAAAGAACTCCTCTACCAACACTGGACAAGACTGAGGTCTTCAAAAGGAAGACAAGCAATACAAACTGAACAGAAAGCTTGACTGTATTCACTCCTTAATTACAGTGCCAACACACAACACTTACTCTAAGTTTAAGCTCATTAATTCTCGCCCTTCTCCAAGAAGACAATTGTTACCTGTAAGATAATAAGGTAAGAGGCAGCTGTGTCCAAATCCTGAGCCATCAAACATTCCTCAAACAAGTCCTTAGGGTTTCCAACGGCTGCAAAAAGGTAGTTCCACAGGGCATACTCAGTCTTCCTGGCACAGTGGACGACTGTCTGCAGGAAGAGGGGGAACTCGGTGATGAACTTGGCCACCGTGGGCAGCAGAGGGTCGGGAATGGGCTCCCGTGAGGTAGCTTCTTCCTCCAGCACTTCATGCAGCATGAGCTCCAGCACGTGAGGGAAGTAAGGGAGCGTGGCGCAGGACTGCGCCAGCAGCAGGGCCTGCTCCCCGAGGTTCCTGACCAGCAGCTGGCGCAGAATGTGGTGGAGGTAGATCTGCGAGGTTCTCTCCACAACGCAGAAGGGGAACAGCCCTTCCAGCTGCTCCCGAGCATTGCTCCGAGCGCACAAAGAGTCGTAGAGCAAAGTGTCATTGACAGCACCGAGGACCAACGCATCTTCAAACAGAACAGCCAGGGGGTAAATGTTGATGTGGAAAGGCAGCATAATCCGCTGGGACAGGAAAGAATGGGGCTTGCGGTGATCCCGAGGGAAGAGCGGAAGCCAGACCTTCATGCCTGCGCCGCCACAGCTCAGCCACAGGGCCTCCAGCAGGTGGCGCTTTTGCTTATTTGCTCGACAGGTAGTCCAGACGTTCTCCACAGACTGGGCCAGGACAACAGGGGGGCAGAAGGGCAGCTGGAGCAGAGACAAGAGCCAGGTCACCAAGTGTTTCAGAATGACTGCACAGCAGCTTTGCAGGGAAAGCAGGGGGATGTATGTAGAATTAGGGGCAATCATAGTATGTACATTTAAATCTTAAAAACAAAGTCCATCCTTGTTTTCCCAGCAGAATTAGCAATATTAACGCTTAAGCAGTGCCATCTGGAGGAAGGAGCATCTCATTACCATTTGGGCCCTTATCCTTCATCCTTTACAAACAGTCACTCTCACACCCACAGGCTTAAGACTAATTCTATATACTTTCTCAGTCTATAAATCACAAAACACCACTCTCAAATTCTTCTGTTGCTTCCTTCTGATCCCCCTACCTTCCCAGTGTTGTAAGTGATCTACACTGACTCACAAGTTTCCTCTGACTGGGGTTGCTCTCCTTCTCGCGGATTTGGGGGCCGGACCTGTCCCTCTGCATCATGATGAGCTGTCCTGCGAGATTGAGCATAATGCTCTCTGCGTCCCGAGCCTGAGGGAAAAAGAAATCCCATTTATCCTCATTTATAGGTACGTTTCCAGCATTTACTCCTCAGTCCATAAGGTTTACAGGTTAAACAACCAATGATATTTAATGAGGTTGTACTATGTACAGGTATTTTGTGAGGCTCTATGGGAATATGAGTTTTCTGTCCAGGGTGGAACAAAGCTTAACACAAGATGCAATTAAAGAACAATGCGAGCAAATATAAAACTGAGGGCAGAGCTGAATTATACTGGAAGCTCTGAGGACTTCAGAAGTTCATAAAAATGAGAGATCACTGAAAGCTGGCACAGCTAGACAAGGCTTAAAGGATGAGGCGGAACTTGAAGGAAGAGGAAGTCAGAGATGGGTGGAAGGGAAAGGGCTGGTGCTCCAGGTGAAGCAAACCGTGTGCAGGAAGACATGGGGATGGGCCAGAACAGTTCTCTCGGGAAAGTAACGACAATCTGGTTAGTCTAGGGATGGTGTGAGAACAAAGCTGGACACTATCAGACGTCCAAGGAGGGCCTGGAAGGCAAGGGAAGAAGACAGCAGCAAGCAAGCCACTACGTCTGGTTCCTGATAAGGGAGTTATTAAAAAAAATCCGAGTTATTCAGGGTGGATTACTGGGGAGAGGCAACCATCCTGGCTGTTGTAACACTACAGAAATGAAAGAAATAATCTTTTTATTATGGAAAATTTCAATCAAGTAACCAAGTAGAGGGCCTAGTATGATGATTTTCCATTGAACTCTGACACCCAGCTTAAACAATTACGCATATTCAAGTTTGAGAAGCCTTGTTTTAAAGTGAATCCCAGATATTAAGTCACCTGTAAAGAGGAAGATTTTGATTTAAAAAAAAAAAAAAAGAACTTACTGATATCCTAGATATGAAGGAATCAAGGATGATTTCAAGGTGTGGAATCTAGGCGAGGTGCTATAGAAGTTAAGGTCAGCACTGATTTAATCATGTCAGTATAATATCTAATGAAATTTAAAATTACTCCTTGGTGTCATCTCTCAGCCAGTATTTAAATATTCCCAATTGTTTCAACAGCGTATTTTTATAGCTGGTCTGAATCAGGATCCAAAAGAGGTTACCCACTATATTTGGCTGTTATGGCTTCCAAGTCACATTTAATCTAGAAGGGTCTCCCCTCACATTTTCCCCGGTGTCACTGACTTGATGTAGCTGTCCTATAGGAGGTCCCACATTCTGCTTCCTTGTGGTGTCAATTAGACTGGACCTCTATCCCTGTGTTTCCTGTGAATGGAAGATGACTCTAGAAGCCTGACTGAATCCAGGTTCAACGTTCCTGGCAAGAATTCTTCACATGAGCTTCCTGTTTCATCACTTCAGGAAGCACACACACTGGCTTTCCCGCTTTTAGTGATGGCTCAGTTATCAGTGGGCTCGGGAATGACAGCCCAAGCCTGTCATCTAATGGTTTCATTCAGTGATGATCATTGCCTCCATCAGTGATTTCCTGAGGGGCTGCAAAATGGTCATCCATTAATTCTCACATTCCTTCCACATTAGGCTAGAACTTCCCCTTATCAACTAGGATTATCTGGTTCCCATGAAATATAGTTTGTAGAGGAAATGGGAGCCACATTTTAAAGGTGAAAAAAACAAGTTATAAGTTTATCTAGAGAAGGGGGACCAAGATGGTCAATGTCATGTGAGAGACAGTTGAGAGATGGGAATATTTAGCATGGAGAAGAGAAGACACAGAGAAAGAGATGCTGAGGAACGACAGCTGTCTGCAAATAGTTTAGGGCTCCTCATGTGGAAGAGAAAGCAGAGAACTGGGATGCCAAACCTCAAAACCCACTGCTGCCAAGTCGATTCCAACTCACGATGACCCTTTAGGATGGGGGAGAACTGCTCAATAGTGTTTCCAAGGCTGTAAATCTTTACGGAAGCAGATTGCCACATTTTTTCCCCATAGAGCAGCTGGTGGGTTCAAACTGCTGATCTTTTGGATCGTAGCCAAGCACTTTAACTACTGCACCACCAGGGCTCCTTTGACAACTGCGATAGGCTATTACAAATCAGATTTTAGATCCATATAAATAACAGCTGGTGACAAGTTTAACTGCAGTGGAAAAGACTCTCTTAGAAGTTGGCAATTCTCCATAACTGAACAGTCTAGTGCACTGGTTTGCTAACTATTTCATGGAATGCTGAGTTCAAAAGAAGTGCCTCAATAGGAACTAAAAGACAGACTGGACAGTCAGGGCTGATGGTACAAATAAAATCTATATAGGATTTTCCTTTAAAAATGGGTTCCATGATGACATGAAGTTTGGAAACCACTGGTGTAATATAAGCAGACTTGGAATAGGGAAGTGATGCAACCTGAGTTCTGGTGGCAACACCATACACCCAATTACCTTACCCAGAAACTATGAGGTTATCCTTTCTCTCTCCTCACAGTTAATCAATCACGGAGTCCTCTGTATCCTATATTCACTCCACTTCTTTCCATCTTCCTTTTCACTGTCCATGTTCAGGCCACCAACATCGTTCATCTTGATCACCACAATAGCCTCCCAGCTGCTCTCCCTACACCTAGTTTTGGCCTGATCCAGGTCATTTCCCTTTACAGTTAAAATAAACTTTATAAAGCTTAGATCTAATAACACCCAGTTTAAACACTGCTCTTAAAAGTCTGAAGTTACCAATATAGTCTGTAAGACTCGTTTCCTCTCTCACAGTCTCATTCCAGCACTCTGAAATTCTTGCAATTCTCTGACTGTGCCAAGTGCTCTCTTATCTATGGGCCTTTGACCACTTCTCCCTCTGCCTGGAATTCCCCCTCTTCATTTAGCCTCTATTCATTATTCAGGTTTCCATTTAAATGCTACAGAACTCTCCTCTGTCCAGACTACTCCAGACATCTGTTATATATTCTCCCAGTAACCAGTACTACTTTTTGGTGCACACATCACAGTTATAATTCTGTATGCATTTATGTGTTTCATGTCTAAGCAGAATCTATGTGTGTTGTTTGCCACTGTAACCATGCATTTTCATACAAGATATATATTAGACATTAATATTTATTTGCTGAACAAATACACACAAATAGCTCTTGACATCAGCTTAACACACTAAAAACTGAGATGAAAACGCCAAAGAGCTCTGCTAATGGAATGGTACCTGCTGTGGCACTTTCAAGGTGATTCCGTTCTCTGTGCTCACTGATGTCAGAGTGACAGACACTACCAGGAAAGGATGAGGAATGTAGCGTGACATGGAGACCTCCTGAAGAACTTGAATACTGGCAGTGGTATTTGGACTGCAAAAACAAAAGAAACCCACACACCTCAACAACAGTGCCAACGAGGCTTTCTTCCTTCTCCACTAGTAATAGTATTAACAGGTTTCACACTTATGGACGACCCAAATGCCGTCCTACTGTCTTCTCCTCCCCCAAATTTCCTTCAAGCAGCAGATTGGGAAGGTCAGGGGAGAGGATGTATGGGGATGAAGGAGAAAGGGAACAAGATAAAAAGGGAAGAAAAAAACTAGGGAAGAAGCTATAATAAAAACAAACAAACCTAGTCGGCTAAGGAAGAAGGGGGTCTAACACTGAGGCTAGAAAGATTTAATTTTTATCTTTACATTATTCCCGTAATCACTGTTTTACTTCAGCAAATACATACTTCATGGCTGTTAAATAAAGAAATGACAGAGAACAAAATAAAACCCAAGAGTGATGGTCAAAACGCTGCAAGCCCACCAAGGCCCAGAATACAGGCAACACGCAGCAGTGGCAGAACTGCAGGACCCTCCTGCCCCGACTAGAGCCGTCAGTCTCAGAGAAGTGATGACATGCTTCCCTACAGCGGAGAACTCCTTCACAGTTCCCCACGGGTCTGGAACACGATGACAGTAAGCACTTATTTTCAAGGTTGTGGGGAAAAAAAAAATTAGTATGTAAGGGCTTACCTCACCCCTAACTAGATTTTTTCCCCAAACGAGCCCAAGAAAATTAGTGGAAGAAGTTAGTGTAGGCTATTTCTATTTTTTTGCAGCTCAACAATGACCACTATATTACTGTCACTGATTAAAACTCCTTGCCTTTCAACTCCTGTGACAAAGGAAACTACCTCAGAGGTAGAACAGCAGCTGTGAGAAAGGAAACTACAACGGAAACATGGTCAACAGGCGTGAACAGTGACCGTCACCTGCTACACTCACCCATCGGACTTCCTTTCAATACTGTAGAGGCATATTGAACAGTCTGCTCGAAATACTATCACCATGTCCCGGAAGACACTCAGCAGTAATGTTTCTGCTTGTGCTTTGGTGACGTGCGCAAATGCATTGTCCAGATTAGATGTCCGCAAGTATACTCTGAGCTGAAGAAAACACAAAGGAAGAAGGCTGTGAAACCAAAATGACTGCCACGGCTAACTAAAAATACTTTACACACGCTGTTTTTAATCAACGGACTTTTTCTCAAGAGGAATTAAAAGACCTGTCTAAGCTTCAGTGATAATTGGTAATGCTTATATTTTGGCAGGGTAGGCTCATTCTACAAATAACCAAAAGATGAAAAGATCAAAACTGTGAATGGGCCCGTTAGGAAATGCTCCTCGTGGACCTGATACAAGGAGACCTGCAATTTCTCAGAATATACACAGACAAATCAATAAATTAAGGAATCTAACTCTAAGCCATCCTTGTATCATAAACTCTCCTACTTTAACAGTTGTTTTAATTTTTCAGTTTTTAATAGAGATTGTCTAATACCTAAAATATTTAGAAAAAGTTATTTTAGAAGTCCTAACTATCACTTGGAATCCCTGGTGGCGCAGTGGTTAAGAGCTATGGCTGCTAACCAAAAGGTCAGCAGTGTGAATCCACCAGGCACTCCTTGGAAACCCTATGGGGCAGTTCTACTGTGTCCTATAGGGTCGCTATGAGTCAGAATCAACTTGACGGCTATGGGTTTTTGGTTTAATTATCACTCAAAAAAATTTTTTAAAAACCAGCAGTAAGCTGAAATGAAAATCCCATTAGCTAGAAAACACCAAATTCTTGATTCAAAAAAATGTTTTGTTCAGTTTTCAACAGATTATTTTCATTTAAAACCAAAGCGTGCTTAATATCTTTAAAATGTGAAAATCGATTACATCTGAGAAAAATTTTTTTTTTTTACCTCTTCTTGATGGTCACTTATGTTATAACATGCAAGGACAATGAAATCATTCCACCAGGCTAAGCCACCTGTCACAATCATATTCTGTTCCTTAAAAGAATAAAAATAAATTATCTTTATTTATGCTATCAGAAATTACAAGAAGTAATACACTTACAAAATATTCTTTAGGTAGACATGAAAGCTCAAATTACTTCTGCTCTACACTCTCTCCAATTAAGTATTACTCTAGGGCCTTTACTAATGATGATTCATATCCTATTTTAAAAAATAAGCATTTCTATAAAGCAAAAAGTACATCATTTGAAACAACTGGGTACCATATAGGAGCCCTGTTGGTGCAGTGGTTAAAGCACTCAGCTGCTAACCAAAAGGTCGGTGGTTCAAGCCCACTAGTTGTTTCGTGGGAGAAAGGTGTGGCAGTCTGCTTCCGTAAAAATTTACAGCCTTGGAAACCCTATGGGGCAGTTCTACTTCATCCTATAGGGTTGCTATGAGTCAGAATCGACTCAACAGCAGTGGGTTTTGGGTACCATATTATTTCCATATCCAACAGAGCTAGGTTTAAATTCTGGCTTTATCATTTACCAGCTGGGTGACTTGGAATCCTAGTTTCTCTTTTATAAAACAGTGAGTAACAATACTACCCTTACTGGTTTGTTACTAAGGTTAATAACATACGTGAAAGCATCTTAAAGTCCCTGGCATACAGTAGGCATCTACTAAATGTTAACTTCCTTTTCTTTTCCTCCTATTTGATTCTTCCAAAATCCAACTGCATATATATGTATACTATCCATATATATATGTATATATATCACACACACAAGCAGAGAACGATCACAAATTGTGTAAAAATTTATTCTGATCACCTGTGATGAACTCAACCTGGAATAGAAGAGTAAATCCCCTTAACGGGAATTAAAAATAAACCAGTAATTTTAACACAAGATCCTTTATCAAATATCAAGTACTTTATCAGAAACAACTCTTCAACATAACTTGATATCACTTTTTTATATTTGATTTTGTGTATTTTTTGTAAGTACTAAATAGTGGTTTACTTTATAGCTATTTCATATTACACAGCTCTTTTTACTTTCAGAAACAGGTCTTTAATTTCAAAAAAGACTGACCTGGGTAATGTTTCCAAAAAGTTTCCATTTTTTGGTGAGTAAAGAGTAATGTGCAAAACCAAACTTGCCAACCACAGCCATATTCTGTCCCAGCTTATCAATAGCTGAAAACTGTTTAAAAAAAAAAAAATTATGAACTCTTCTCTGCAAACTTATATACCTTATTAGAATAAAGCTCAGTTTTGTGTGAGATAAACAAGACTATTAATAAATGTTTGCTAAGTGAATTATATATAAAATGGTAAAGTTTAAAATCTGGATATTTATACATACATTACATTTGACAAAATTACAGATGAATTTTACTCTTACCAATACACCCACTGAAGAGCTCAACTCCCAAAATGCCTGTCGTAGCAAACGCTAACCAATGAAAGTTAACCCGAACAGAATAACCACTCACCCGTATAGGCCAATTGCTCTCTAGATAGGTGCTGGAAATCTAAAGAAAATAACAACACCAGTCTGGTAAGACTCCTGAAATGTATTTAAACTTAAAGTATTGAAAGCATCAACTTATTACAATATAAAATTCATTTTCCACTACAATGTTTAAACTGCCCCTAAATGACAGGTATTACTAGCAATACTTGGAACTTAACATTTGGATGCCATCCAGTATTTCACATCTCCTGACTTAACCATTTAATTTCAAGTTTCTAGATGCCTAGCTTTCCTCCTCCTTCCCCACAATGTTCCTGTTTGTTTTAAATACCGACCATTCAATAAATACAGACTGACGAGATTTTTAGACAAGCACCCACAAGGGCAGTCAAGAAATGGTACAGATGAACACTGTGGGTTTGCTGATCTGAGCCATTCCAAAACAACCTATCTAATGAAATCAGAGGTTCAGCAAGAGTTCTCTTTTTGCTTTTCAATGAAATTATTTTATGACTTTTGCATTTTCCTGATTAAAAAAGCAATATATGCTTATAAAATTTAAACATAAAAATTCACAAAGAACATTATTGCTCAGGGATAACCACTGGTTAGCTTTTTTTCTATCTCTAAACAAATATCCAAATACATGTAAGAGTGTGTACAAGCTACTATTTTTCTACTGGGGTGTTCAACTTATTTATCTACAAGAACTCTTAATATATGTCAGAGATTAATTCTTCATCTGTAACATAAGTAGTAAATATATTTTCCCATGCTGTCTGTCTTACATCTTTGTACATGGTGTCTTTGGATCAACTTAATAAGAATTTCAAACTTAAAGACTCCCCAGTGGGATATCAATGTAAATTAAGTAAATTCTAGCTCTACTGGCCCCTGATTAAGTAGTTTTCATGAGTATATGGTGAGAGCAGAGTGAGAAGTAACAGAACAAAGTAAGAGTCTTCTGTTCCTGGAATAAGAGAAGCTTCAATTTATTCAAATTTATTTGCATTTTACTCAAAGAAAATTGTTACATATTTAAGAAAAGAAAGCCAAATTAAAAAGTCAAGTGCCAATCAAATCCAGTAAGATTCTTTGCATAATGTGAAAACAAAACAAAAAATCAAGTATCAAGCTTGATAAAATTTACTCATAAAACTATTTCTTAGACTTCATTTATTATCTCTTAAGTCAACTTAAAATCCAAGCAAATTAATAGCTTTAGTACATTAGGAAGTTCTTATCCCTAGTGTTGGTTTGTGGAAGCTTACCTTGCAGAATTAAAGGTATTTGAGTGTCACTGATATGTGCTTGAATGTTTTATGTGAATCTTAACAGATAAGATGTACCATTTAGACCAATCAATAAAATTCACTCTAATGGGTGAAATCAGTAAGCTTGAGGTAATGACTGGGAGGCAAAATAAAAGTTGAAAGCAGTTTTCTAGGGGGCGGTAAATGAAAATCTTTTGGATCAAGAAAATAAAAATACTCACTTGAAGACGTGCCTAAGCATAACTGAGCCAGCCACCCAAGATACTGAAGAGAACTCCGCCTTCCCCCAAACCTTGTGTTTCCTAAGTACTTCTGACACGTGTGTGAGTGATAAAGTGGGAGCTAAAATCTCACTGCCAAAGTGGATCCCAAAGCAAGGGAGAATGAAGAAAACAAGATACAAGGGAAAGATATGTCCAAAGGACTAATGGACCACAGCTACCAAGGCCTCCACCAGACTGAGTCCAGTACAACTAGATGGTGCCTGGCTACCACCACTGACTGCTCAGACCGGGATCACAATAGACGGTCCCGGACAAAGCTGAAGAAAAATGTACAACAAAATTCCAACTTACAAAAAAAGACCAGACTTACTGGCCTGAAAGAGACTGGAGAAACCCTGAGAGTATGGTCCCCGGACACCTTTTAGCTCAGTAATGAAGTCACTCCCGAGGTTCACCGTTCAGCCAGAGATTAGACAGCCCAGAAAACAAAACGAGACTAATGGGGCACAACAGTCCAGGGACAAGCACTAGAAGGCAGGAGGGGACAGGAAAGCTGGTAACAGGGAACCCAAGCTTGAGAAAGGACAGTGTTGACATGTCATGGGGTTGTTAACCATTGTCATAAAACAATGTGTGTTTAATGAGAAACTATTTGTTCTGTAAACCTTCACCTAAAGTACAAAAAAGAAAAACAAAACAAAAAACAAAGTGGATCCCAACATGAAGAGTTTCTAATCATAGCAACCAAGATGAATCCTACTATATGATCATACTCGTGTACGAGGTGTCACAAATGGCAAATGGTTTATTTTCAAAACTCAAAGTGTACATTTCAAATGAAGCCTTACTTCCCCTGCAGTTCTGTGTCTGAAGATGTTGTGAGATCTACACTAGAACAAAATGTTTACTTTCCCAGTAGGTCATGCTGACTACATGCCACTTGGACTCTGAGCTTTACCACTAACATCCGGAACAGGAAAGGGCAGAAGTGAAGAAAGAGGCACCTAATGAAGAGTGAAGAAATTCATTCAGCTCACGACTGCCGAGCCAGGACTCAATGCTGTGCCACCCTCCTACGTGCTGGGGTACGGCATCTCTAACCTTCTTATCCGAGTATTTTTCCATCTCTCTTAAAGAGCTGGAACTGACCTTTATTTTTAAAAAAATCATTCTGCTAGAACTCTGTGTCCTTCCCAGACTAGTTTTATCTTGAACTGATGAGACTATGGGAGCTGCCCTCCTAGTGGATTTGACCTGTGCCGAGCACACCTGGTATGCCTGATACACTGTAGGTATGAGAGCAAATCATCTATAAGTAAAATAGCTTTTTAAAACCCTGACTTAACTGTGCTCCACAGAGTTTTCAAGGCTGTGTGACCTTTCAGAAGCAGACTGCCCAGAGGTGCCGCTGGGTGGGTTTAAACCACCAACCTTTTGGTTAGTAGTCAAGTGCTTAACCAATTGTGCCACCCAGGGACTCAAAACCCTGACTTAAAAGTCCCTAACACACTGCCTGACACACTCATTGTAGATGCTAATCCTCCACATTTTGTGAAGCTTATTCTTTCTAAATAGTCAGAGACAGGTTAGTGATAAAACCAGCACCCTCAGAACACTGGATAATAATACATGCACCTTTGAGAAGTAGATGTTTATTTAACACAGTATAACGGAGTATTAAAATAAATGGTAGCCACAGGTGGAACCCAGCCAGAAAACCAGGGTTTTTTGTTTTTTGTTTTTTTTTAATTTCACATTACCTGTGTGCCATCTGTTAACAAACCACTTCCAAATTTTTAAAAATCGGTAGCTGGGAAAACTAAAAAAAAAAAAAAAAAAAGTGTGCAAGGCACCTTCTTTAGTGACACATACTAACCCTGCTTCTGCCAAGTATCTATTTGTGTTTAATTAAAGGAAAAAACATAATTAACACAGAATCTTCTAAACTGGAGATTCTTATGGAGTGTAAGGTAGAAGACTTCACCACTACCACCACCCACATCCAGTTCTCTGGATGAGGAACAGAAAGAGCAGCAGAATTAGCCGGAGCTCATCTTGTGCAAGAAGCATACAAAGTAGAAATCATGCAAACAAAGCCACCTGGATGGAGGACACGGGCACTAATCTGAGACAAGACTGTATTGAAGGGGGATTTAAACCAGCTACCCGTTTCTTCATGGAGTCACTATTAACGGTTAAAACACCCGTACATAAAGCTTTAGCATTCTCAGGACACTGTCAGCCAACCTACCAAACCCCACCATAGTGCTACACTGAATTAGGTGGCTTTAGTGCCATCAAACAAAGAAAGTATAGGACAATTCCAAGAAAAAAACATCGCCAAATAGGCAAACTCTGGACTTTAGCCCAGTAAATGATATCCTACAACATTTAGCACCTGGGTTTTAAAACAGGTTAGACTGTTACTTTAACTTACATGGCAGTAAGGATAGGTCTGCCCTTATGCGTCTGTGTGACCTTGGGCAAGTCACCTAACTTCCCTGAGCCTCAGTTTCCTCATGTACAAAATCTAGTTGGAGTAGATGATCTCTAAGGTCCTTCCAGCTCTAAAAATTCTATGAGTCTATTATAATTTAAAAGTTTTGGAGTACAACTCTGGCATTATTATTAGCTTTCAGGAAACTGGAAAAAAAAAAATTAGGTAAAGCTACAGCTAACCAAATTCATCTTTCTAAATATCCTCAGATACCTAAAGGTAAGCCTGACAGAAGACTCTTGCTAGTACCTACTTTGTCTAAAGTCCTAAAATCAGTGCTATATGCTTCTTATTTGGGATACTTTATTGAGCACCAAGAATCACTGAATTTTTGAGCTGGAGGGAAATTCACTTTTTGTTATTGCCTGATGGATTTTTGAGTTGCAGACCTACCTTCTTGGATCCTCTGCTCTACTTGGCTCTCTGGTAACACAGACCTGGCTAGGCAGAACTGGCAATTGATGCTAGGTCAGTGTAGAATGAATAGTTCAAAGTATGGGGAAATGAAAATAGCAGAGAAATGGCTATAGGAGAGAAGGGAGCAGTGGAAAATTTTAGTCAAGGAAGTAGCTGATGCAGTTTTATTTAATAACTGTTACTAATTATAAAATGGTATGCCCATTATTTGATTTTATGAATTTATTAATGTAAGTTAAATACGTTTTCCTTTAGTGTATACCACATGTCAATGTAGGAAATATTTCTTCCTTCAATCTTCCATATAATGACCATTTTCCTATCATTACCTCCCCTCAGAATCAACTGAAAATAAGATGGGAGTTGAGATCAGCTAGTAAGGTAAAAGTACAGAGTAGAAGTAAGGCAAAGAACTGTGGAAACAGAAGCTGACTAAAAGGAAAAAAATCTAAGAGTAAGCTCTGATGTACCTAAGATATTTTGGTATCAAAGGGGAAAGGAAACACACCACTCAGGTCTTTGAAACTGTGCATGCAAGTTTCTTTCAGGAAACGTCAGTTTATTCATTTTCCCATATTAATTTTATTTTGTATCAAAATTCAGAATTAATTTCCAATTCATCAAATTACTAATTGCCACTGCTAATTTGAGAAGTTATGTTAGAATGAGTAAATAATTTGGAACAAGATTAGGTAATAATAAAATTATTAACAACAAAATTCGAGATTGTTCAAGTCTACTTTGGGTCCGAAGTCGGGCAGGTGACCTCACAGTGGCCCCTCTAGGACCACAAGGCCAGCTGCACAGGGCTCTACTCAACATTGCCACTGTCCACAAAGTCACCGCACGTTTGCCTAGACAAATCCACAGGGCTAAATTTACACAAAAACGGGGCTGGAAGTACTACGAGCAGTTTTGCTTAATAAGGGACAAACAAAAAGCTTTCAGTTCTTCACCCTGTGCATACTAATGACTCAAAGCAGGTGGGGACACACTCGACATCCAGTGGAAAGAAAGGACGGAGAAGACATAAAAGGACAAGAACAGAGAAAAGCAGAAGAGACACGACAGTCAAAAAGGTTAAAAAGAGTCTCAGTTTTCTGAGCAACAGCTGAAATATTTAAAAATACGCTCAGAGTGGTATCTTACCTAAATCAATAATAATCAATGAATGAAGACTTACCTGTACAACATGCCAGTGCCGATGGCCAAGTAAAGTGCTTAAACCCTGAGACTTGAAACCTCCATCGACAAATGGGCTCTTTGCCCGCCCGGGCTTATGCTCGGAGTGGGCCGAAGAACTCCGGAGAGTCTGGGCTTGGGAGGCCTCCCCACAGTTCAAGTACAAGCGATCCTCCCCCTGTAGCAACACTTGCTCTTGGTTACTCTAGATGAGGTCCAGGCGAAACAGAGGGACAAAGGAGGAAAGCAAACAAAAACAAACAGCTCAGTGTCAGTTAGGGAAAGGAAGTAACACATCTATTTAGTTTTATTATAGAAACGCACCACGCATTGCAACAGAAGTTTTCTTCACAGAGGACAAAGACTACATAATGAGCTCACACACTGCTACATTGGGAGAGGACAGGCAATATTTTTAATGCCTACTTGGCAGTGTAAATGAAATCTCTGATAAAGCCTGCTTTTTCTTTTTTTTAATTGTAGTCTAAATGAAGTTTACATTTCCAGTTAGTCTCCCATACAAAATTTTATATATACATTATTATCTGACCCTAATTGCTCACCCTATTCTGCAACAGCACACTCCTCCTTTCCGCCCGATTCCCCATGTCCATTCAAGCAGCTCCTAACCCTCTCTGCCTTCCCATCTCACCTCTGGACAGAGGCCGCCCCTTTGGTCTCTTGTATCTACTTGAGCTAAGAGGCACACTCCTCACGAGTATCACTTTGTGTCCCACAGTCCAGTCCAATCCCGGTCTGAAGACTTGGCCTCAGAAATTGTTTTAGTTCTGGGCTGATAGAGAATCCAGGGGCCATGCTTTCCGGGGTTCTGCCAGTCTCAATCAGACCATTAAGTCTGGTCT